CTTCCAAAACATTGGATCCCACCCAGGCGCGGGGAGTCACCCAAAGCCATGGCAACCCCGTTTCCGCTGCCACATCACTTTTATTTTTGTGTCCCTAGATTTTTTCCTGTTTTGCAATGTTTTGCTGGGACCCCCGACTCCGCCTGGGGCCTGGGTGGCCGGGGGCCAGGGTGACCTGCTGAAGTCAGGGACAGCCTGGACTCCTGGCGTGAACTTCGCCCAAAAGGTCACACTTTTTTTTTAAATTTCGGAGAATATAGAAAGGCTTTTCAGCCAGCGGTGAGAATGGTAAATGGGAAATACCCTGGTGGTTCTGTCTGGTTTCTCTCATCCTCTGGGATATGATTAGAGAGATTGCTCAGGGGGTTGGTGATAAATGTGGCTTGGGATTCCAGCTCTGTCTCCAGCTGTGAGCTGAGCTGGGGCCCCGTGACCTGACCTCTACGAGCCTCAGTTACCTCATCTGTAAAATGGGGATAATGCCGCCCACCTCTCAGGGCTGGTGTGACAGTGAAAAGAAGTGACACATTCACTCAGCAATATGTGTGAGCACCTACTGTGTGCCAGGGATTATTCTAGATGCTGCAGACACAGTAGCAAACACCAAGTCCCTGCCCTCAAGGAACTAAGAGTTCTAGCGAGGGAGGCCAGATAACCAATGAGTGAACGAATAGACAAGGTCATTTCAGTAGTGCTAAGTGCCACCGGGAGAACAGAGCAGGACAAGGGGACAGGAGCTGACAGGTGCGAGGGGAGGGTGACCGGCTTCAGAACAGATGGGCAAGGAGGGGCGGAGGCTTGAAGGAAGAGGAGGGCGAGCTTCATAAAGAAATGATGGCAGGACATTCTAAGAAGAGCGAGCGAAAGCAAAGGTTCTGAGGCAGAATCGAGCTTGGGCTGTGCGGGGACAGAATGAAGCCAGCGCCGCGGCAGCCAAGTAAGCAAGGAGGAGGTCGAAAAAGCTGAAATCGGAGGTGATGGGTGAGGGCCAGGCCCTGAGAAGGCCTGAAAATAATTAAAATTAGTAATAAAATATCAATCATCATACTAATCGTGCTGCTATAAATAAGAGGCCTTTTTCCAAAACACCGAGCTCTTCCAACTTAAGGAACCCCATGCTGCCCCTCTCCTGTCTTTCCACCGTTCTCCAATTTGTCATCGTGCTGGAGTGGAAACCACCAACTCCATCCATTTCAGCCACGGCTATAAAAAGAACGCTGGAGCCGGTGGTGCCGATGACCCAACGTGGGGGCTAAGATTAGCCCAGGAGGCTGCCACCTTCCCTTAATGTGAGAACCAGCTGGGGCTCCCCTTCCTTGGAAAAGTTCGGCTGTTCCACTCCACCCCGCCCCGCAGCGCCTTCGCCGGCCAAGCTGTCCATGGAGATGGGAACAGGGATGCGTTTTGGAAAAAAGAAGTTGAGCAACAGGGATTCCCCCTGCAGAAGGCAGCCCTGGGCCGGGAGGCGAGTTCTTGGGGTCAAAAGAGCAGAATCAGCTCCCCTGACAGACACAAGGCGAGCCCCCTGTCTGTCACAGCCACCAGGAGCCAGATATCCCACCAGGGAAGCCCACCACTCCTGGGGGGAGGGGCGGAGGGGGTGTCTCAGACACTCCGGGGTCTGTTGGCACCAGTCCAGGGACCACATGCATCCAGGATTCTTTAGTTAGACTTTCACGAACTGCATCCTCTCGACCCCAGAGACCCACTGCAGAAGTCGGTGCTTGATTTCACCACAAAATGGCCCAAGTCAGCGGCTCAGAGCAGCTAGAAGAAGGTCTTCAGCCCAATTAACCTGGTTCTAAGCTTTTTCAGAGCAGAACAGCTAACAGTTAAGGTACAGACTCTGGAGCCAGGCTGGCTAGGGCCAAACCCAACACTGCCATTAACCAGCTGTGTGATCTTCACTACGTTACTTAGCCTCTCTGTGCTCAGCTTCTCATGAGTAAAATTGGGAGAGCAGTGGTTACCTTGTAGGACTGTCATGAGGAATCAGATCCGTTAATATATATAAAATGCTTAGGACAAGGCCTGGCACATAGTTTATTATTACTTATGATGGTTTTTCAATGTCTCTCAGTTCCATGAGCTAAAATCTTACCTTTTGCCCTTCCATCAACTAAATATAATGATAATAATAGAAGCTAACATTTAATGAGCATCTACAATGTGCCAAGCTCTATGGTCTCATTTAATCTCTCAAGAGAAGTAAATCATCTGTATTTTACAAAAGAGGAAATACTGGCTCAGAGAGGTGAAGCGACTTACCAGGAATGCCAAAGCTACTAAACTCAGATCATGGATTTGAACTCAGAGTCTGTGCCTGTAACCACCACAGCCTGCAGCCCCCCACAGCTGCCCAGCCAGGGCCTACGCCGAGGGCAGTGTGTGTCAAATAAACCCTGTGTATGGCCTGAGCTCTGATAAGACCGGACAGACCATGACATAACAGCAGACATTCAATGAGCACTCCCTATGCACTGAGCTCACGTTGTTCATTTCTGCAATCCACTCCAGGAGGAAGGGACTGTTACTACCTCATTTTACAGAGACAGAAATCGAGGCCCAGGAGAGTAGAAAAACTGGACAATGTTGGGTATGATCTCAGGTGAATGCCCTGACTTCTCTGCCGTCTGCCTCCCACGGGTGCTGGGTTAGAGAGGACAACCTGGGGAGAGAGGCAGGCGAAGGGCCCGCCCACAGACGGACTCAATCACAGGGAGCTGTTACTATCGCTCTTCTCATAACATGCAGCGGGCTCTGAGTTATCCTCCCTTTAAGAGGTAAACTGTGAAATTTCCTCCAGGCCAAGAGAAGAAAAACCTGAGAGTAAATGCCATTCATTCATTCATTCACTCACTCACTCATGAGCTCCCGGACAACTGAAAGCTGGCTGGCCCGCAGGACCTGGCATCTGAGTCATCCCTACCCGGTTCCACTGCCCCTCCCCCACCCCCGCCCCATAGGAACTACCAACCTGGACACCAATAACAAGACATCTGTATGTTACTAGCATTTTCCCTCCACCAATAAGGCATTTTGAAGCCATACACTTCTTGTGAAAGTCAGCAGAAGGCCAACAGGATGGCGCCTGCTACAGGAGATGCATCAGAACCGAAGAGGCTAACCTCATAGCACTCTCCTGCTCAAGAACCCAGCATGGCTCCCTATTACTTTACCCAGGTGCAGACCAAAGCAAGCTTATGTCTGTACCTGGCGTTGGAAGACCTCTGTGTTCTGGCCTCTGCCCGCTGATCAAAGCAGTTGCCCATGTTAAACAGCCTCTACTTTGGCAAATTGGCTTGCCCTCTGACTCAGCAGAGCCGTACGAATTGTTGCTATAGAAAACATTTTACATTTTCCCACCACCTGGAAAACAAGCATCCCCCAGGACACTCTGAAAAGTGCATGCCCTCTTGAATCCACTATCCCACGTCTAGAAAAGAAGCAAAACAAACAGCATTAGCTAACATACCACACACTTTCTATTTCCCAAGCATTTTATAAGCACTGAACATGATGAGCTCCTAATCTCTCGACCACCCGATGAGGTAGGACTGTCACCATCCTCACTGTACAGATGAGGACATTGCTGCCCAGAGAGGATAAGTAACTTGCCCAAGGTCACACAGCTAGAAAGGAGTGGGGCTGGGTTTTGAACACAAGCAGACTGGCTAACAAGCGAGTTCCTATCTAACTGACAAAACGAATGCAGAAGATGTTCATCACTGAGCTACCTATAACAGCACAGAGTTGGAAGCAGCCTAATGCCCAATAAAAGGGGAATAAATATGGTGTTGAACAAACACATACTAGAAAGCAACGCATCCATTTCAATGTCCGTGTTCCTAACCCCTCACTACACCACCACTGACCGATCACGGGCCTTCTAATCCACTCCCAAACCCACCCGCCCTCAGGGCCCATCCTCAGGGCCCCAAGAGGAAGCTTTGTGGGAAGAGGGAAGAAGCTCACCTCCCCCAGACACTCTGCTTTCTCTGTCAGCAGGTGTCTTCATGATACACAGATCCATGATGCATCCAGGCTGAAGGGCAGCCCCCAGAGGAGGTGCCCTGGGCAGTGCACAAGCCCACAACTGAACAACCTGCCTGCTACATTCTCTGCAACATCCTAAAGGCAATAAACCAAGAAACAAACATCAACACCCCTTTGAATTAACCTACAGAAATCATGTCCACTAGAAGAAAAGAACTAGGTCTATCATCCACAACTACCCAATAATTGCATAATCTGATACTTTTCCTGCTTCCCATCATTTCTCTTTGCCTCACTCTCATGGGCAAAACACATTACCAGACCATGTACACAAGAAAGACTACAACACGGCCAATAAACAGAAACATTAAACCTCTCAGAGCAAAGGAACGCAAAACAAAAAGAAGTACCAATTCAGTGAATTGTTTTAATTTTTTTAAATGGCACTTCTGGGAAGGGGGGGAAACCAGTTCTGATGTGGTATTGGTGGAAGTTTCAATTTGTACATTTCTGGAAGGTAGCTTAGCAATCTGCATTTAAAATCCTCAAAATGACTCTCCAGCATTCCACTGCTAGGAATAAACCATAAATAAACAAGATGCACATGGAGATTTGTGTCAAAAAGATTAATTAATCTTCAAAGTATAAGAAGATTAATCACAACACGATTTATAATTAAACATAAATAGCCAATGTTTATCGGCTTACGATATACCTGGTGCTGTTATAATTACTCAACATGTACCAACTCATTTAACCCTGTGACAACCCTCTGTTATTATAATTTCATACATAAGAAAATGGAGGCACAGAGAGGTTAGGTAATTTGCCTGAGATCACACAGCAAGCAAGTAGCAGAGCCAGATGTGAACTGAGGATACCCAGGCCCAGAACAGGCACATTAATCACCATGCTGTCTGGCCTCCCTTCTTGATAATAGTAAGAACCAGCAGGTGGTGGCTTTCGCATGGCCAGGGGACACGCATGAGCTGAAAGGGCCCTACCTGTGGTCTTCTCCGTGAACACGACCTTGGACTCGGCCGTGAAGTTCTGGCCCGTGAGAATCATCTGCTGGCCCCCATACACCAGGCAGCTGTCGATGTCTTGTCTCTCCACCATGGGCAGCTCGTGGGCGGATCGCTGGGCTGCGGACAGAAGACAAGAAGTCACTGTGAGGACACTCCAGCAAGGCTTTCTGATTTCACGGTGATGAGCTGGGACATGCTCTGCCCACCTTTTCACCTGTTGTCACGTCTAAATGTGGAGCCGTCATCACCCCTGTAAACCTGACTGCAAATGTCATGTTCTCGTAAAAGTGTCCAAGTCATTTGGATGCATTTTCTCCTAACAACACGTTTTGTTTTCCTGAATCAAGGGACGGGAAAGGCAAATGAGAATTTGATTACTGTATTTTTATGAAAGGACTAGTGGCCTGGTGCACAAAATTTATGCAAGGGGCTCAGCCCTCGCAGCCCTGGCCGGCCCTTGCAGCCCCGGTATCATCCGGAAGGTCGTCCAGACAGTCCTTCTGCTGTTCAGTCTAATTAGCATATTAGCTCTTTATTATGTAGGATGGGCAAACCAACTATTCCATGAGACTCATTTCGCTAGAATGCACTTTCTCCTTTTGCACTTGACGTCAGCCCACACCTTCAGCACACACATACGACACGTTAGGACCCGGTTCCTGATATTTGCTTTGAAATTCATTAGCAATTCCAGACCTCGTCTGAAAGGCTTCCCTGATCTGCCCACCATCTCCCTGACCTCACTCTCTACAACGGACTCCCCCTTGCTCGTGCTGCCCCAGCCTCACTTCTGGAATGTTCTGTGTCTCAGACACACTCCTGTCTTAGAGCGTTTGCACTTTCCAGTGCCTCTCTCTCTGGCAGGTTCTGCCCCATGACCTGCAGGGTTCCCTCCTCACTTCCTGCAGGCTTCCACTCTGATGTCACCACCTCAGCGAGGCTTCCTCCTCTCTCGCAGCTATAGCGGGTACCCTGTCCATCTCGGTCTGTCTGTCTCTCCCTCTCTTGCCTTTATCCTGCTTTTACCCTGCTTTGTTTTTCTCCAAAGAACTTTCCACTTACAGACACACTACATGTGGCTTTATTAGTTCAGGTCTTCTTCTGCCCCCTCTAGACTGTAAGCCTTTGTGTATGATGTAAGCCCACGGCTGGGGACAGAGCTGGGATTTAGGAGGAGGTGCTTGGGAGGGAGGGAAGGAGAGAGGGAGGAACGGATAGACGGGTGGATAGCTGGCTGGCTGGAAGGACAGATGGACAGGCGGACAGATGGATAGGAATAAATGTGAATATATCTCAGTACATCGTGGCACACATACCTCTATCTCTCTCCATATCTAAGTTTTCATGTGTGCCTGCAATAACGAAAGAAGGAAGAACGGGCAGCCGTGTGCTGAGCACTTTACTGCAATGATATACTTGAATGCTCACAGCAACCTTCTGAGGAAGGAAGTATTAAAATCATGCACACTTGACTGGGGAGAAAATTAAAGCTAAAAGAAGTCAGGTCACCACGTGGCCAAGGCTCTGTGGCAAAGCTCAGTGGGAACCCCCAGAGCTGCCGTGCCCAGCGCCGGCCCCTCCCTTGGCCACGCCAGCCAGGCTCTGACTCTGCTGCAGGGAGGATGAAGACCCTCCCCAGCCCCCTTCCCAGGGCGGGTGAGAACCGGGTCCCAGCAGCACCAGCGGCCCGTCTGCTCAGGCCTCGCCTTGGCAGCGTGGGTCGAAGAGGCCGGTCCTCCCCTCGGTGAGTCACCCTGAGCTCCTGGCCTTCCTCCCAGAGCCCGAGAACTGGGCGGAGGGCCAGTCCTTTCCGTGCCAGGGGCCCGTGGACCTCCCCATCCGGGAGCCGGGGCAGCAGCCGTGTGAGGCCGAGGCCCAAACCGAACCCTCCCCTCCTGGCCGGCCTGAGCCTCCAGGTGGTGAGCACCCCCTCCCTCTGCCCAGAGCTACACTGGAACCGGCTCCTTCGGGAGCCACCATGCACTTGGCAACATCTAAGGAATCTGTCGTGGACCAGACAGACGCTCCCAGACACTTCCCTTTCAAAGTGCAACCCGACGACTCACAGTGATCCCGACGGTCTCCCCATCCCGCTCCGCCCAGGCTCTCTGCTCCCAGGGACCGGCCGGCCAAGTGCTGCTCCAGGGGCTGCCGGCTCGGAGTATATATTCAAAAGGCCTGTCCACAGAAGCTAATGTCTCCCACATGGGCCGGGTTATTAATCCCTTCTTTCAATATACGCGTTTTGTATGACTTCCTAATTGAGCGGCTACAAATGGAGGTTTACTAGTATTAGCAGTGAAAACACCAGCAGCCACACCGCCCGGAAAAATGGTCCCAGCTTTTAAGTTCTGCCTTTGATGAGTCTGGGGTGGGGGCCACCGCTGGGAGCTGTGGCCCCAGGGATGGGTGGGGAGGTGGGAAGAGCCATCTGCCCCGTTTTGCAGGTGGAAAGCCTGAGTCATTGCTACTGGCCACGCTGGCCAGGGGCTCTCAGCCAGCCAGGCCGGGGCCTGGCCATGACCAGGAGGTCTGAGCAGGCGGGAGGCTGGCCGGCCAGCTGCTCTGTGAACCACAGTGCATCGTTGTGAACACGTCGAGTCTGTTTCCTAAAGCAACCTCGCTGTTGCTCCCCTCAAAGCCTCACAGTTTCAAGCAACCAACTGATTCTCTCTTTGCCAGATTTGCCCTTCCCATCCCTTCTCCTTACCCGAAGGAAAGCTATCTTTTTTCAGGAAAATGTAGCCTTTACCGGTACTGCAGGCTGGCAATGCCAAGCTCGGCCGGGAGCACCAGCACCGCGGGGTGCCTGTAAGAAAGGCTGAACCTCGGCCCCACCCCAGGCCTATTAAGCCCAAATCTGCAGCTTAACAGGGCACCCAGGTGGTGCTCGGGTCCCATCGAGTTCGAGAAGCACCGCTCAGCTCTGCTGCACATTAGGGTCAGCTGGGGAGCTTTAACAAGGCTGACCCCCCCGGGCCTGGTTCCAGAGCCAGTCCTCAGCCTGGGCACCAACACTGGCTGGGTCATGCTGTGGGTGGGGGCCCACCTGTGCATCGTAGGATGTGGAGCAGCATCCCTGGCCTCCACCCACTAGGTGCCAGTAGCACCCCTTCCTGTGGACACCTGCCTCTGAGCAGGGCTGGATGTCCCTGGTTGAAAACCATTGATCTAGAGATTCTGACTTCCAGGGTCTGAGGGGAGGACCCCAGCATAATTTTTTAAAAAACAATCCTTCATGTTCCCGTGGGCCCCCCAGTTGGATCTGAGGCGCCGTCCCCGCCGGGTCATGCAGGGCCCTAGCAGCCACGGGAGAATTCCTGGTTACTGCTGCTTGAGTCTGGGGTCAGAAAGGCCTGGTTTCCGGTCCTGCCTCTGCCAACTCCCTGCCCTGTGACCCTGGGCCAGTCACTTCACCTCTCCAGTCACGGATGCCTTCTCTGTGAAGCCCTAACAGGTTGCCAGAGGGGAGGTGAAGGGGGGGAGGGGAGGGCAAGGGATAAATGTAAAGGGGAATAAGAGGTACAAACCTCCAGTTATAAAGTAAGTCACAGGGATGTAGTGTACAGCATAGAGGAAAGAGTCAATATTACGGTAACAACTTTGCTTGGTGACAGATGTTACTAGACTTATTGTGATCACAATGTAAGGAATATAAAGGTTGAATCATTATGCTGTACACCTGAAACTAATATTGTATGTCAACTATAATAAAAAAAGAAAACATTATAATACTGAAGACATAGTATTTTCAATATACTTAGAGAAAATATCCATTGTGGACCCAGACAAAATATTTTTGAGAATGAGGATAAAATAATGATACCATAGCCCAACAGGCATGGCTCAGTGGTTGAGTGTTGACCTATGAACCAGAAGGTCATGGTTCAATTCCCGGTTAGGGTACATGCCTGGGTTATGGGCTCAATCCCCGGGGGGGAGGAGGGAAGGGGGGAGCATGCAGGAGGCAGCCAATCAATGATTCTCTCTCTTCATTGATGTTTCCATCTCTTTCTCCCTCTCCCTTCCTCTCTGAAATCAATAAAAATATATTAAAAATAAATAAAGATCTCATAGAGAAAATGATAATAATAAATAAAATCCTGCCAGTGCCAGTCCTCTTGGGTCCTCCTACAAGCAGTATAAACATGTGGATGTGGTTAGTATGTAATTGGTAAATATTTAATACCAATAACCCAAACGTCCATCAATGGTTGAATGGATAAACAAAATGTGGTCTGTTGTACACAAATATTACTCAGCCATAAAAAGGAATGGAGTACTGATACAGGCTGCAACATGGATGAACCTTGAAAACATTATGCTAAACTGCAGGAGCCAGACACAAAAGGACACATACTATATGATCCCATCCTATATAATAAATAGCTAATATGCTAATTAGACCAGACGGCCAAATGACCTTCTGGAACGACCTTCCAGAATGACCAGTGGGTGGGGCCATGAGGCCGCTCTCAGGGCTGCGAGGGCCTAGGCAGCTGGGACTGCGAGGGCTGAGCCCCTTGCACGAATTTCGTGCATCGTGCCTCTAGTTTATATGAAATGTTCAGAAGAGGCAAATCCATAGGGACAGACTGGTGGGTGCCAGGTCTGGGGAGTGTCTGCTAATAGGTACGGGGTTTCTTTTTGGGGTTTGTAAAAAAGTTCCGGAACCAGGTCATGGTGGCAGCTGCACAACACTGTGAATGTACTTAATGCCACTGAACTCACATTTTAAAATGGTTAAAATGGTAAATTTTGTGTTATGTCTGTTTTACGACAATTAAAAATACATATAGGTAATGTAAGACCAAAAACACAGTTACCACTCAAGAAACCAGTCTTTACTCTCATTAACTTTCAAAATGCCTCTTTCTTGCTCATGTTCAAAACGTTTGCCCACTTGGGATCTTTTTAAACCCTTCATCGAGGAAACCGCGATTAGTACCATTTCACAGACAGAAAAGAGATGCTCAGAGCTCGGCCTCCTCGAGGGGCAGCTCCCACCAGGGTGGAGGCTGTTGTGTTGGACACACCTCAGTCCCACTCAAGTCCCCCACGATGTGATCCTTGGATGGGTCCTTCCCAACTCTAACCCTCAGTGTTCCCCTCTGAAA